ATGGGAGGGAAGGGGGGAGACAGAAGATCAGCTGAGAGGTTCTGGTGTCACCTCCGCTCTGCCTGTGTCACTGTGGGTCACACAGATCTGCCCCCACTGCCATGTCCTATCCCACAGTGTTGGTCAGCCTGGTCCTCTTCCTGAATGTTCAGGATGGTCAAGTAGTGATTCAGGCTACAGCCCAAACCTGATAAGGGATTGGGAATTGTGTGTTTTTGGATCCCACAATACTACTACTGCCCACTAGCAGCAAAACCAGGAGCCCTGCCCTGGGCTCTGCTGGTGCCAGTGCACACGGTAGGTGCTCTAGCCGCTGTAGCTGCTGCTCAGGGTGCAGGTGAGTGTGACAAGGGAGGCAGGTACAGAGGGCAGCTGAGTCAGCACAGGCTGGGAGAGGGACCTGAAAACACAGGTCCTCATTAAACTTCTAGTTACAAGGCAGGTGAAATGTTGCTGGAGGAGAAAGGAGGGGATTATGTCTGGGAGATGCTGTTCCCTGTAAAGGTGCTGACCACTGCCCACAGCTGTGAGGACAATGAGGAGGGTGAAGAGCGACCCAGGACATGGTAGAGACGCCCAAGTTCTGTCCTTCAGGTCCTTACACAGAAGGTGGTCTCCAGATGCTCCTACCTTCTGCACAGGGCTTTTCATGCAAATGAGCTCCCCAGGCAGGGCTTCTACCCTCTGCACAGGGCTTTTCATGCAAATGAGCTCCCCAGGCAGGGCTCTGGATCAGGTGGGGGGAAACTCAGCTCCAACAGAACATTGTACATTGTGACTGAGTGTTTTATCCCCTTTGCTGGCCCAGTGGTGCCTGTAATGTCCCAGGATTCAGTTGGAGACTCAAAGGATGCCACATGCTATGGTCATGTCTACCCCAAAGTTTATTTCTCACACTGCCTCAGGCCCCCCTTTTGATGACAGCTGTCAACTGCAGGTGCCTCTTGCCCCTAAGTTTCTGCACAGGAACTCACCTGACACATCTCTGAACACCTGACTCAGAGTTGGCCTTTGACCAACATCACCAGCATTGTCCATCGTAAGAGGGAGATAGCACATGTGTTCTCACATCAAATATCCATCATGTGCCAACCATTTGCCAGGTGCTGGGCTTGGGCATGAAGTAAGAAAGTAAGATCTCTATTTCAGGGGTTTTTAGTCCAGCCTAGAAGGCAGCCTCTGGATGCATTCAAGATGCAAGGAAGACTTAAAGTTGCATCCCAGGTTCAGTGAAGATGTCATCCCGTATGGTGTCACCTCCTCTAGGGCTGGGTAAGTATGAGAAAGTGTCTTGTGGTGAATATAGCTTACACTGAGACTGGGAGAATATTAGCAGTTAGTCCTTCTACAGGCAG